ACAAAAAAACTAAAAGAAAAAACTATGAGCTTCAACTGAAATGTTGCCTCTGCCACGCTTCAGTGAATGGGCGTTGCTGCATTGGGCGTGGCTCGGTGACGGCGCTAGAGGAGTCATGGGAGGAGAAGGTCGTTGAGATTTCATCGTGGATAGCAAAGAATTTTGATTAACTTGGAAAATCATTGGAGTAAGTCCCCCGGTGGTGGAGGGAGGGAGGCAGGGAGCAAGGCAGGGCGGGGGTCAGGAGGAGATAGAGGGGCACACAATGTACGCATTATTTGTTTGCATTGCAGCCAATAATTGCTTAACTAAATGTGAGTCCCGAAAGGCCGAAAGCGCCTCGTTAAGGTCCTCTCAAGCAGCAGCCAGCAGCCAGCAGCCAGTAGCCAGTAGCCAGTAGCCAGCAGGCAGCATGCAACGGGCAGCGTCCAGGCTTTTAAATAATCACAATGAAAGCAACAGGGCCGAGAGCAACAGGAGAGACAGGCCAAACCAACAGACCAGCAAACGAAACGAAAAACAAACCAAACAAAAAACAATACAAAGAAATACGAGAGAGAAACAAAACGAATTGAACAAAAACAAAACAAACACACAACAAAAAAGAAACGCTCACAAATTGTCATTTCTTAACCTTTTCAGATTGCGAAGGCGGCGGCGGCCGGCCCCAACAGGAGTTCCAGCAGCAGCAGCAGCAGGAGCAGGAGCAGGAGGAGATGTGTTGTGGCCAGCAGTTGGCAGTCGCCAGAAGTTGCCGACGCGCGCTCCCCAGCGCACAATGTGTGTGCGCGCAGCTTTAAGAAATGCCGAATTCCAGAAGCCGCAGTACAATCAGTTGAATTAAAAAACGAGCGCACAGACAGAAGACGACGTGGATGTGAATGTGGCTGAGGCCGAGTCTGTGGATGTGGATGTACCTCGGCCTGGACCTGGGACCTGGTTCTGGATCTGAGCCGGCGACGATATCATCGCGTGGAGAGCGCGCGCAGCTGCTGCCGTTGGGGGCTAGGAAATTAAGAGGACATTGTGGCGGCATGCGGTTAGAACTTGCAGCGGCGGCTTAAACACAAAATCCGCCAAGACACACACACACGCACACACACACAAACACAAACACAGAAAGAAGTTAACCCAAAGCCAAGATTCTTTGCGTGGCTGCGTTGTTGGTGGCTTTTGGACAGCTGGACAATGCCTGACAGAGGTCGCCCTCGTACGTAATCGACGAGCATTGCGAATGCTTTTGTCCTCCTCCTCCTCCGCCTGCGTCTTGTGCTGCGCACGTGGCCAACTTGGTGACGCGTCTGTTGCTGCCCCAACAACAGCAGCAGCAGCAGCAGTAGGAGCAGCAGCAAAACACCAAATCATTGAAATGTCGTTAGAGGCTCGAGCGGCACGCAGCATCGATAGTCAGCGGAACCGCAAAATGCTTTTAATTTCTCAAACTGATATGCACTCGTGCTCCCTCTGGACGCGGAGGAGTAGAGCTAGCTAGAGGTGCGGTTCGGGAGCTGGTTTGCTGGAAAATGATTCAGCGGGGGAACAAGTTGCTGTTGCTGTTGCAGAGGGATTGAAGGTAGCACCAGAACGAGAAAAGTACAAGGAAATATGTACAGAAAGGCATAGAAAGAGTAAACTCCACAGCTCACTCCAACTAGTTGCAAGATTACAACACAAAGATACCGGATTTAATTTAGTGATTAGTTTGAATACAAAATAAATTATTTGTTGCAGTTTTCAAAGCTTTCATCATCTCTGGTTCTTCCTCCAACAGGTAAATGAATTTTACATACAATCCATATTCAAGTAAAATATTAAGATCATTTCTTTCATTATATTTTCCAATTGTACTCGAATTTTTATGTTTAACAAGACGCATGAAGCGTGGAAATGAAATAAAAACGAAACTATAAAAGCCAACAAACTTGCGAGATTTTCTGGGGGCTGGGGGATCATAGAAGAAGCAGAAGTAGTGGGCGAATGGAGATGATGCGCAGGTGAGCGACCATAGAAGGCAATCGGCGCAGAGTCGAGTATATAGCCAATACACCCGCGCAGACCGATAGACACGAGCAGATATGTACACAGTATATACTCGCATATGCCCGTAATGTGTGGCAAATGCCAGGCGAAGGAGGAGGGGGGCAGCAGCCCACTGCATGATGGCAATTAACCTTGGCTGGACAAAGAGTTGGCGGCAGCAGAACGACCTACAGCAGCAGCAGCAACAGTCGCGTACCAGCCATGACTTTTATCAGTCAAGTCAGCTGCTGGAAGCCAGGCCAGCAGCTGCTGCCAGCAGAAAAACACCAACAAAATGATGACCTGAACCGGCGTTGGTGTCACACCCACAACATCTTTGGCTCGTTGGCTCTTTGGCTCTTTGGGGGCTTTCATTCATCGTCTCGAACTGAATGGAAGTCCACGGGGCAGAGAGAGAGAGAGAGAGGGAGAGAGAGATCGGGGCTTACAGTGGCACACGTCATCGCGCAAGCCTACGCGGGACCCAGAGCCACAGCCACAGGCAGAGCCCGGGCCATAGCTTTGGCATTGAAAAGTAAGAAACGCGATTTGCATGCCAAGCCAACACAGGGGGGATCGGACCTGAGGCCTGTTGGTGCATGACGAGCCGAGCCGAGACGAGACGAGACCGGGCCAGACGACACACAAGACACACAGAGAGTCAATGGGTGCTCTGATCGATTTATGAACTCGTCGCCCGTATTCCGCTGTCTGTCATGACGTCACAGGGGCCCCAAAGAAGCCCCCGCAGCAGTGTTGCTTTGTACTGTGGTGCGGCCTATGGCGGTCTATTGTGGAAGCGGAAGCTCTTTGCAGCCCAACCGAATGTTGAAAGGAAAAACAAAAATATGTATGTACATATGCTAAGAAACACACAGAAATTCATTCACAGAGAGCAGAGCAGAGCGGAGCAGATCAGCGAAGAGGGGCTGCCCACTCGCTCGGAGATTCGGAGATTATTACGCGTGGAGTGTGTGGATTGTGGATTGTAGATTCTGTGTAGGCTATAACTACAGACTTTTGAGAGCTGTCCGGCAGGGGGGGGGGAAATGGGTCTTATCTAGCGCTCTTAACCTTGCTCTTGAAACTGGAAGCTGGAAAAATCTCAGTGTTGGGGCTGTCGGCAGCATCTGGCACTTTTACATTATTTGTTGTTGTTGTTGTTTTTTTTTTTAAATTATGTTTTTTTGTTGTTTGTTTATTAATGTATAATATTGCGCTAAGTAAAATATATGCATATACTCTTTATATATGGTATGTAGGTATACTATTTTGTGGTTGGTTTTTAAACATATTTTGTTTCGCTTACAACGTAAATTGTTTTAGGGTTATTCGATTCGGTTTCTGCGGATTGCACGTGCATTTATCATAAATAATAAATTTAACTATTATTAAAGAAATTCTGTTTTGTTTTTTGATTTTTGTTTTCTGTTTGACAGAAATGCGATCTGTATATAAATTAAGTTCTTCTCTCTTTTTTTTGTCATTTTTTTGCTGTTGTCTTTAATGAAATTAAGTTTAAATAATAAATTAAATTTAAATTGCTTTTAATTTGTGGAAATTAGCTTTGAGCTGCTTTTTAATTTGGTCTCTAAATAAAAATATACAATAAATATTAGTAGAAATCGAGAGACAGATAGAATGAGAGTGCGGAAAGTAGAGCGATATTGACAGCTCAAAGGGTGAGTGGGGGGGTTATGTTGCATGTGGCATGTAAAGGAATTTTGAAAACATTTTTTTAAGTGTTTTTTTTTGTTTGTTTAGTTTAGTTTGAATGCAAATAAAACTCGAAAAGTAACTAAATGAAAGCCAATTCAAATAAACATAACTTCAACATTACAAATAGTTCTAACATTAAGCTAAACTTGGGGGGAATAAGCTTAAAAGTTCAAAGAGCACGCTCATCGCACCCCCGCACACACACACACACGCACACACACGCACACGCACCTACACACATACAGCCGCCGCGCATTCGAATACTCCTATACTACATTTCTTTGCCAACAACTTTTGTATGGCTATGTTTACCCTCTTTAGACTCTATACAGCAAAATCTCTCCACACACCTCTCAATGATGATTCTTTATAATATCTTTATACATATATGTATGTACCGTACTGTACTGTACTGTACTGCACTGTACTGTACTGTATTATGTATGTATCTCCCCCCATTCGTTATTGCACTTATGTTTTATATGTAAGAAATGGACTAACTTAAGCAGTCTCGGCTGTGTCTCGATGTGTCTCTAGTGGTTCTAGTGGTAGAAATGGCACTGGGTTAGAAGCTGCAGCTGATATGTGACAATTGATCTATTGCTATGGGATATACTCGCATCTACCTGCGCCCCTGCTATCGTCAGGGGAGAGCTGTAGCTTGGCTATGGCACAGTCGCCTTTAAGTAAGAGTCTTGACTAGTATACGAAATAAAAAAAAAATGTAAAATTAATACAAAAAATTAAACACACACAAACACTGCGACAAAACAAGAACAAAACGAGCGGCGAGATCGTATTGGCCATGAATCCGACATATGTACATAAGCGTACGTGTACAAGTATATCGAAATTCGATCAAGCCATTTGCTGCACTTTGGATCTGCTAAAACATATGTCTAAACATAAAACTGCTGTCTAACTAATTGGGTTTTTGGCCTATGGGGCGCCTTCATCTCTGTCCCTGCTCATAGGCCAAGTGCCCTGTATCTGTATATATTGCCTAGAGAATCTGAAGGATTTGCCTAACGCTGCGCATGCGTATGCGACATATGCGAGTGCGTCGAATGCGGCGGCGGCACGTGGGCCACATGCGCATGGTGCGCATGTCCGCCGTAGGCCTGGGCATGGGACAGGGGCGAGGCCTGGCCACCGCTGTACCCGGACTGCATCAGACTCTGCTCGAGGCTGTAGTGCGAGGGTGGCGCCGGCGGATGGGCGAGATGAGCGTGCCCGTGGTGACCATAAATCAATTGTCTTACTTTGGAGTCCTCGTCCGCGATGTTGTAGCTGAGCTCCGTCTCCTCGAAGCCCGTGGCCGACATGCGCTGGTCCCCGCCGCCCACGCTGGGCGGATCCGGTGAGTTGAGGCAGGTCTGTATGAGCTGTTTGCCCGCCTCCGAGGTGATCATCGGCTGCAGCTTGCGCGTGGCAAATGTGTAGACGTGACCCGTCTCGCTGGCAACCAGCAGCATTACCTGTGTCCCAGTCAGCGTCGACAGCTCGTAGGCCTGCAAAGAGTGCAAAGGAGCAAGGGAAACGTGTGTTAAGTACTCGTATTCGATGATATCGGTCTTCAAGTATCGCCTGATATCGCTTGCATGGGATTGGGATTGGATATTGGGGATTGAGGCTGGGGCTGGTGCTGGTGCTAGGGTTGGGGTAACTGTCGAAGCGTGTGTTGCCACAGCGGCACATAAATTTCCCAAGCAAACTATGCGATTATGTGGCAGCGATAAGAACGAGTAGCAACAAAAGTTTGGCAGAGGACGAGGCCTAAAGCGATTAGAGATGGGAGCGTGAGGAGAACGCATTGAATGGAAATGGGAAATCAGTCGATCAAGAATATCAGATTAAGGTGCTACCAGATCAAGCAAAAGTTCACCAGGGAACGATGATGAATATTCGTACCATGGGTCCACAGTAACTCCTTTAACGGAGTGGAAAGAAGTGTTCAAGATGATCTGGAAACATTTAAAGGCTTACACAACTTAACCCATTTCTTAATGCACTTCCTCACTGCTCTCCCACGCAAAAGCCCCAAAGTCACGCAACCATCTCGATAGCTACATAGTTCCATAGTCAATAGACCCGCCTCTGGAGTCTGGTCTGGAGTCGGTCCGTACATTAGACGGTAGCTTAAGCTGGCTATCAACAGCTCGTAATTACTATAAAGGCGATAAAGTTGCTGTCTGGCTGTCTGACTGTCGGACTGTCGGGCTGTCTGCTTGCCGTGCAGCCAGCGAGCGAGCGAGCGAGTGGCAGACACAGCGCATAAATAACTGGCGCGGCAAGAAGCAGCCAACCCAACGCTTCGGGGAACATTTATTAATATTAATGAAATTGTTGTACACATTGTTGCTGCTTCGGATCTGGGATCTGTGATTCGGGATCGGCTTCTGCCGCTGCTGCTGCTGCTGCTGCTGCTCTTCTGCTGCTACACCGATTGGCTGCCAATTTTATGTGTAACATGTGTAAATGCAAACAATTGACACGGTCCGAAAGGAGAAGCTGCAACTGCAACTGAATCTGAATTCGATTCTCGTTCTGAGTAGGTGTCGATTGTACCGAGAATGGTACCCTAGGTCCAGGGCCAGGCCAGCCAGGCCCAACACCAACAATTCATGTCAATTTGAATTTCGAACAAAGACAAAAGGACACGACACGAGGCAGCAGAAGGCTGGATTGGAGGATTGGGGTAAGAAATCTGTTGACAGGACAAGGCAGCCCCAGAGACCAGGCAGCAGGCAGCCGGCAGTCGGCAGCAGGAACCAGGCACAGGGGAGAGAGAGAGCGGCAAGAGTCATTTGTTAGACGGCGATTGTTGGTTGTTTTCTGTTGGTGTTGCTGTTGCTGTTGCATGTGGCCAAAAGGCAAAGCCGACCAGCCATCGAGGAGCCTCTGGTCTTGGGGGCCGCTTATCTGTGGACAATCTGCCGCTGGTGCTGCCCCTGGTTCTTCGGCCGCTCCTGTGTATCAATACGCTTCCGTGCTGGAAGCAGCAGCAGCAGCACCCGAAAACAATTCCCAAGCCAAGTCAAGACCAGGCCAAGCTCAAGCTCAAGCCTGAGCCTGAGGCCTGAGGCCTGCCTCGTGATTTCAATTTAACACCTTTTGGCGGCATTTTGCGCCTTGTGCCCTTTTGGCCATGTTTAATGGTTAGCGGAGACGCAAGCGTGGGGATCTGTGGAGCAACCTACATGTGTGTGGACATTGTGCATTATGCAGAAGCGCTTTCGCTGCCACGGACGCAGACGCAGCCCGCAGCCCGTAGCCCGTAGCCGTGGCTCAATCGTGGCTCCCATCGAACGGCCCACGCAATTAGGTTGACCAACAAATGAGATCACTTCTGGACATTAGCTCACTTTTCACTTTTGTGGCCATTTTTGGGAGTTGCCGTGTCGCTCTGCGCCACCCACGCCACGCTCTGGCTGAAAATGACCAAAATTGGCCAGTGGAAAGCATGCCAACAGGTTGCCATCTTCGTCTCCATCTCCGTTTCTCTCTTTCTGTCTCATCTTCTGGCCAAGTTCATTGGCCGCAATTTGTTGCTAGGTATCCTCGCTGGCTGCTGTTTTTTTTTGTTTTGTTTGCCCCATGGCTGTGGCCGTAGCGCCAAGTCAAAATCCCATTGTCTGACTGTCAACTGTCCGACATCGCCTGGACATCGATGAGGGACCACATCAAAGTCACCAAAACGAAATATTATATATTTTTTTTGTGCTTTCCTGTGGCATATGGCAAGGGTTTGTGGTCTCGGGCGTGCGCCTGTCATAAGTCCGGCCCCCAGGAAGGGACCCGAGGAACGACATGAGTGACCGACCAGATCTGATGTCCCAAGGGTCAAATATTTGGTATACTCCAGACTTTTTGCTCCAGAGTCTAGACGAAAAGGGAATGTCATTTGCGATACGTTTACTTGTCCAACTGCTTCGGTATTCAAAGGGTATTCCGAAATTCGTTGCCTCAATGTTTCTGCCTTTCATTTTTGGAGCTGCAGCAGCGCCTTTTGTTTTTTTTCCCCCCTCGACTTGGGTCAAATATTTCATAAGATTTTGTGTCTTTGGCTAAGATCGTGCTGGGATCGTGATTTAGCGCCGCAATGTTGATGGTTTTTGTGTCTGATTTTGATCGGGTGTTCGGTTCGGTTCGGTTTGGCTCGGATCGAGGCTCGGTTTGAGGCCAAAGAAGTCTATTTCAAAAATGTGAAAAATTTCATATGCACCCGCCAGATGGATAGAAAGCACCACAGAAGCAGCAGTGCCACGGGATGCGAGTAGGAGGAGCAGTAGGAGCCAACCATTATATAAGTTTGCGTGTGAAAATTGGTCATTTGAAAATGCCAAAGCCCGCTGCCGCTGCCCGCGCATGACAATGAGTGGGGTAGAATCCACAAGGAGCACGCATCAACTGCTGGAGGAATGGGGAGGCGCAGCAGCAGTAGCAGCAGCAGCAGCACAGCAGCGACAGCAGCAAACAGATGAAGGTGGACTTGTGGACTTGCAACTTGTGGGTAGCCTCCTTTGAATGCAATTGCGGCGGCAAATTAACATTTTATGAAGCCGAAAACAAAGGGAAATGCGGAATCGTGGGCTACCGCGCTTACACAACGCCGCCAAAGCGGCAACTGTTGGGGTACCTGAAGAGTGGGGTGGGACCGATCGGGACAGACCCGAACAGAGGATCTCTGGCTACTGTTCTAGAGCTGATCTGAGCGTTGCACGATGGCACAGTGGCAGCAGCACCATTTGGACATCAAGCTTTTTGTTTTGAGCCCGAGGATCACTCCACTCGAACCACTGTGCCCGATGCCCGGTCGCATAACGATAACCGGCAGGGAGAGAGGCAGAGAGAAAAGGGAAGATGGGGAGGGACAGTGCACTGGACAATGCCAGAGGAGGTGCATTGGAGCTGCAGTTGGAAGGAGCATCGAAGAAGCATTTATTAATTGCACATGCGCTCAAAACGTGGCCCAATGTCAACCATCCAACCATCCCATTCCATCCCAGTGGCCTAGCTGGAGAGGAGAGATGGGATCTGGAGAGCAACTCCGACTCTGACTTCGACTCCGACTCCCCCGCTTACCTTCTTCATGATGCCCGTCTTGCGCTTGGAGAAGGTCGTGTAGCGACGCAGCTTGTTGTCAATGTATTCCATTTTGATTTTGACACGTCCCTTTGTCTTCTTGCCGTTGGCGGGCGGTGATTTCTTGTTGGGCAGCGGATTGTATCCGTCCACATTGTCGTCGACGCCGGCGCTGGCCACACTCCCGCCAGCGCCACAGTTGTCCAGGCCCTGCAGCGTCAGGCCGCCTCCGCCGCCAGCCGAGCGATGGTGATCCTCGTAGCAGTCGCTGCCGGATCGCTTCAGGGCGCGGTGCTGTTGCTGTTGCTGCTGTTGTTGCTGCTGCTGCTGCTGCTGTTGCTGTTGCTGCTGCTGCTGCTGTGCGGCATGCTGGGGACTGTGATGCGTCTGGCTGTTACCCAGGGTCTGGCACTGCGATGGAGCTGCTCCGCCGGTGGGATTGGGCCGCTGCATGGGCACACCGCCGCCGCCACCGCCCATGCTCTGCAGGAGCCCGCCGCTGGGCGGACGTGCGCCCAGGGCCGCCACCGCCGGATTGCCGTACATATCGGCCTGGTCGGCGAGGCTCAGGCCTATACTACTCATCGAGTAGTTTAGGTTGTAGCGCGAGTCACCTCGCGTCGGGTCCATTCTCAGGTAAAAGTTCTCCACGGTGGAGCCGTAGAAATCCAAGGCACCGCGCGCGTCTATTATTGCTACCTTGCTGTGAAATCCGGCCGCGGCACACTTTTCCCGTTCTCCTCTGCTCTGCTCTGCTATGGCTATGGCTATGCTATGCTCACGGCTCGGATCGCGGGGCTGCTGCCGTATTTAATTCCAAAAATAAAACACAAAACACACACCGCACGCCGCACACAACGCGATTCGATGGGATTCGTTTGCGTTTCTGCCCTGGCGCTGGCCCTCTTGCGCGGATTCCCTGACGCGTCGCTGTTCGGCTGAGCTCTCCTGTGCTTGCTGGCACTGCCGGCCGTGGCTCAATTGTCTCAAATAATTAATTAACAATTGAAATTTGGTTCAAAACGCGAAATTTTTGGGCTGCAACGCCGTCGTTTTGCAACACACACGCACGCACGCACACACACACAGACGCAGAAAATTGACAGCTGACAGTCCTACAGTGTTGCAGTGTGGTGGAAACCAGGGATGCACTGGCTCGCGCCTGCCTAGTGTTGCATAATCTGCGGGATGTGGCGCTAAATTTGAATTTATTTTCGAAAATATGTGTGCTTTTTCATTCAGTTGATTGCAGTTGCAGTTTTATCTTTTGGGAAGATTTTCTTTGAATGTTGTTGTGGGTTTATTTTGTTGCTAGCGTTTACTGGGCTTCCATTGGTTGTTCCTCTATTTTCAGCTTCAATTTGTTTGGTTTTGTAGTTTATTTCTGCATCAGAATGTTTTATTTTGAGTTATATTAATTGCTGTTGTCACAATAGCCGTTTACTTGTAGTTCAGTGAATTTCTTTATATTTTTATTTTAATGTGCGTTTAATTGTTGAAGTCGTTTAAAAATTCCTTGTAATATTTGGTTTTATTTTCGAGCGTTGTGTTGTATTTTTCTTTACAGTTATTGGAATTATTTTCTGTTGTTTCTGTTTGTGTTGTTTCTGTTTTTGTGTTGCTTTTATTTTTTGTAATTTTGGAAATCTCGCCTGTTTTTGTGTGTAGTTGGCTTATTTGTCGCTCGGCATTTGTTTGCTGTGGCACTTGTTTGGAGTGTTGGCTTTATTTGTGGCGATTTTATTGTGGTTAATGCCTAATACGATCCGCAGCGACGTACGTACGAGTAAGTGCGGTGCGTGTGCGATTTGGCTTTGGTCGGGAGCAGGGCTGACTTGCGATCGATCGTTGCCTCCGTTGTGCTTCAGATGGCTGCAAAATACTTAATAAACCCCAACGTATGGCCAGCGACGGCGCAGCGACAAACTTAGCTGCGCCCCAAACTTGGAGCCGGACCGGTTCTCTCCCCGCCGTTCCTATCCACAAGAAAGAGTCTCTCTCTCTCTCACCTCCGCCAGCGCGCGCTCTTTGCTTCGGCTGGAAGAGAGTCGGTCGTGCACATAAGAGTCGCGCGTTCGTCTTTATTTATTTGTCGTCTGGCAGAGGCGACTGACTGTGTGCTTATGTTATGGCTTAATTAATTAGAAACCATACAGCCAGCCAGCCATAGGTGTATATCTCTGTACATAGTCGTACGTGTTCCCTCCGACACGCCCCCAATATGCATACTCATTCGGTACACCGTATGCCGTATGCCTCTCCAGCTCCAGCTCCGTTTCCGACTCTCGACACTGCGCCTGCGCATAGATCTTTGGGGCCTGAGCGTGGCTCCTCCCTCTGGGGGCCCGTTCGTGATTGAGTTTTGTAATTACATTCAACTCGCCGTTGTACGCCATTTTCTCGTGTAGCGCTGCTGTGCTGCTTATCAGCGCCGCTGATTAAGTTAATTTGTTATTTTGTAATTTCTCTGTTTCTCCTTTCTCTTCTGGGCCTCTGGCTCTGCCCTCCGCACTCCGCCCTCTGCTCCTGCAGCTGTACTTCCAGTACTGTTCATGAGCCGATGGGGACACAGACACAGAGTGGCGGCTGCAGGGGCAAAAAGCGATACACTTAAACTATGCCAGGAATGCCTCGAGCCGGCCAATATGGTCAGAATGCTCTAGAGGATTTGCGTGGTGGGCCCACTTGTACACTCGTACACAGGAGTACGAGTATTTCACCAATGTCCTTAAATAGATGTTCGCAAGAAAATTCTGCTCCCTCTGCTCCCACTGCAGCTCCCGCGGCTGCCGATGGTCGCTTGGGTGGATGAGGGGGAGTCCGCGCTGGCGGTGGGTTGGCCACGTGCAGCGACTAACAGATAGCCAGAGATAGTGCTGCCGAGGATGAGTATATCTCGGTACATCGATACACTCACTCGGAGACTTCTGGCCGCTTCTGGCCGCTGGCTGCTGGCTGCTGGCTGATGCATTCCTCGCTTCGATTTTTCATTTTCCCCCAGCTGCAAATGGTCATCATTGCCTTTTCCAGACTCTCGCCGTGCCTCGGTACGCCTTGCCTTGTCGTTGTCGCCAGCTTGTCTCTTCCGCGAATAGTCGAGAGCCAGGTCCAGGTCCAGGCCCAGGTCCAGGCTGGGGCCCAGGACCAGCTCCGAGATGATGTCTGATGTCGTTGTCGATGTTGATTCGATGTCGATGTCGCCCCGCCGCCGCGTGCATTTAATTATAATGAAATATAAGAACTCTGCGGCTCCGCAATGGTTTGTCTACCTGCCTGGGCTGCCTAATGATTTAAATTAATCATAATGACTGTCAAAATAGAACGTTTGCCGCTGGCCTTAGCTCATATAAGGCTCGCTCCACGCAGCGGGCACCCGACGCGGTCCTCGGCCTCAGGTTCATCTCCTTCCTCCTACCACAGAGAGAAATCTTCTGGGGGGACAGTCGTTTGCCTCAGTCAGAGAATTGAAAACTTAACTTTACAAATTGGATGGCAAAAATAGTTTCAATTTAATATTTAATTACTTAAACTTTGAAATTCGTTAAGCTTATTTTTCTTGAAATTATCCCACCAATCAATGTGGAAAAGTTCAATTATTTTAATTCAATTGTTACTATTAAATTCTAATTAAATGAGGCTTTTAATACTCATGGAACACAGAGGTCACAGTGCAGATCAGACACAGATACCCCGCAGATTCTCGCAGTGCATTCAGTGCAACTCCTGCTCCTGCTGCTGCTTCTGCTCCTGCTGACATTTCATCATACTCACACGGCCTGGCTGGGTTTTGGCCCGGTTCTGTTCGGTCTGGGTCTGGGTCTGCGGCTGGGGCTGGGGCTGGCCTGCTCTAAGTCTAAGGTTCTCACAATTGTAGACGCGTTCTGTGCAGCGCTTACTAATTGGTTAGTTGGCTGCACTGCAGCCTCTGGTCGGGTCTGGTCGGGTCTGGTCTGGCCAGGTCTGTGGCTCCAGAGCGGCTGTCTTTCTAGGCGATCGTCAGCCTGTCTGGCTTTTGCCTCAGCTGGGAACAACTGCGGCAACTGCAGCAACTGCAGCAGCAACAACAACAACAGTCACATGTTGTATTTTTTGCCATTGAATTTTCCCTGGAATTTTCTTCTCTTGAACATTTCTAATACTTAATTATTTGCGAGCGTTTGCTTGGCGTTTTACGTGCGTCCATTCCAGCTATGGGGCCTGCTCCTCCATCTCCACCAGCCGCTGCTTATGTAATCCTTCAGAGAACACCTTCAAAACAAATAACAGGACAACAGATCATCCCATCCATCTGTATGTTCGCATATATTCCCGAAAATGTATTTTTATAACTCACAAAAAAAATACAAAAATAAAAAAGAATTGTAAAAAAATAGAAAATGTTTGTTCCATTTACGTATTTGAACAATTTTTGATTTGCTGCAGCCAAACACATATGCATACATACATATGTACATACATACATGTACATAAATGCCTATGTATACACATATATAGAGATATTTTTGACTATTTATAGCGAAGCCAAAGTATTTTAAATAGTCTAAATGTGTACATTTTGGTTTAGCAGATACATGACGAGATATGGGATGAGAAACTATCCCGTAGATTTTGAGTTAGGATCTAGATTAAAGATAAACGCAGGCTATTGATAAATTATGGAATGCCTTTACTTGAGAATTCATCGGACTAGAACTGCAGAACTAATCCTAGGCGTAGATCATTAACATTATTATAATGCAGCGCCTGGGACACCTTATCTGCGGCATGCAGCACCAAAAACTCAGAACTCAGGTGTCTAATTGGGCGCTGGGGTGACAATGAACCACTTAGCCCAGCCACAGCCACAGAAAGCCAAAGCCAAAGCCAAAGCCTGCAGATTGTCAAAGTCTGGAGAGAGGGAGAGAGAGAGAAAGAGAGAACCGCCAACGCCAACGCCAAGTCAAAGTCAGAGCCAGAATCAGATTCAGAGTCGGAGTCAAGATCGAACCAATTGGCAATTGGTACAGGCGATCGCAATGTTTCTTGCCTCATGAATAACGCATAAGGATTGGGCTTGGGGCTTATGCTCGGGATCGGCATCGGGATCGGGTTTGGGTTCGGTTTCGGTTTCGGGGCAATCGACTGGGCGATGCCTTTTGTCAGGGGCATCTCTGCCTGTCTGTCTGTCTGTCTGCCTGTCTGCCCTGTGTATTTTTTTTGTTGCTTCTGCCACAATTTAAATAAAATTGAGGCTTTGGCGAAACAAAAGGAAAAGCAGCAGACCCCCAACCCACTCTTTATTTTCGGTTTGATTTCCGAGCTGAAGTACCGTTCGGTCTGTGTGTGTGTCTCTCGGTGTGTCCGGCCACAGGAAACAAAAGCACCGCTACAATCATAAAACGATTAACAGGTCGTGACCATTTCACCTGATTACCGGCTGGCAGTTACCTGTTACCGGTTTCCACTTGGCCAAAAACTCATTTGCATTCAGCGTGGACTCCCTTTGGCACTGTGACAAGTGCAGCGGCGACGGAAGTTCAGGCCACAACCCACCCCACCGCCACCGCCCTTCCATTCCATTCCCTTCCGTCCTGTCCAGTTAGAACTTCCTCGCCAGCCCAGCATTTTAATATTCCCTCAATATTTAATTATGACAAAAGCCGAGATTGCTGCGTGCTTTGCATGGCAGTGGGCCCATCAGCCCTCGTGGCTTTGCCTTCGGGCCAAGTTCTCTTTTTCGGTTGACGTCAGTTAGTGGCCTCGTCCGCTTGGGGCCGCTGCCTCTACAAATTAGAACAGAATTATCCCACGCATCTCGGATAATGTACGCGAAATACTTGATCGATTGCCAGCGATCGATAGTTTGTTGTTTTTGTTGTTGTTGCTGCTGCTGCTGCTGCCGAGACTGACAAGAGCTGCAGACGAAGAACGTCCCAGACAGGCCACAAACCAACGGAGGAGTTGCATGCAACATCAGCAGCCACAGCAACAGCAGCAGCATCAGCAGCTTGGGATCGTCGGATCGTCGATGGCACAACAAATTTCAGCGCGTAGAACGGTAACTTATTTTTTTCTACCCGCTAACTAGAGGATATTATGGGTATATTGGACTGCAGGAAGGGTTTCATCGCTCTGTCTGATTCGTTTTGAGGAGTCTCTCAGAACCTATAGGCGTTCTTGGATGCACCTCCACTCCGCAGTTCGCTTCGGACTTTAAGAAAGTGTGATGTCTAGAAACTTAGACTTTGAAACAAGCGTAGGAGGTATGCCCTGGTCGAGCACTCCCAACTCCCCCCAGACTGGGGTCCACTTATTGTCAGGCCATGGAGAAGCAGGAGGTGGAGGCTCACAGCGATGTCTCCAGCCTGGCTGTGATAAAATGTGCGTAAGTGATCAGTTGGAAGACAACGACTTGGAGTCCAACTTCGACTCCGACTCCGACTCCATCTCCGACTCAAGACTCGAGGAGTCTTTGCGTTGGGGTTAAAATTCTTGGACTTCTGTGATTCTTGGGCTGTTTTTTGCGCTGCATTTCGTTTCGTTTCGTTTAGTTTGCTGCTGTTGCTGTTTCTGCTGCTGCTGCTGTTGCTTTCAACTCTCTTGGCACTCGGCAGCATTTTAAAATTACAAGTATGTAATTTTGCTGAAATCAAGCGCTCATATGAAAATTCCACTGGCGGAGCTGTCGATCGATCGATCTCTCAGGCAATTGTGGAGCATTTTTAATTTGTGCACTTTTGCCTGGAAATCAGAGCAGAGCACACAGAGTGTGCTGGTGGAGGGGGTGGAGTAGAGGACACAATGAGGGTACGTACGCTCGCTCGGGACACAGCTCGGACAATGGACAGTGGACTGTCCGTGGACTGTGGACTAAGCGGACCGTTCACCGACCTTATCGCGCCCACTGTGCACAAATGCACACACAAAATGTCAATTCTGCGCACGTCGCTTCACAAGGCATCCCAATCAGTCGTGGCCGGGCCACTCTATGGCGTTTCAGGTAAGGCACCCAGGAGGAGGTGGAGCAAATGTCTCTTCTCTTGCCAATGCTACTGCTGATGCCTGGATGCAGCCTCTCTGGCTGGCTGGCTGCTGGCTGGCAGCTCGTCATCATTATCTCTGCGCTTTGCCAACACAACATCACAAATAATATGAGGAAAGCAACAAAACACACATATACATATATACGAGTATATGTATGTACACAAAAAGAGGAAAGGAGCAAAACAATCGTAGGGCATGGCAGGACAAGAGCCAGAGGATGGTCGAGAGACTAAACTGGCACTGGCACAGGCACTGGCCCGGGTCGACCGGGCTGCAAATAAACTATTTCAATCAATGCGTTTGTCGTCGTGCCATCGCTTGTCCCAAGGATCGTTCAGGCATTCTGACAGTCAGTCAGTCAGGCAGTCTGTTAGTCTTTCGGCTGTTGGGTTTCTGTTTCTGTTGCTTGGGTCAGTCTCAGTCACTATGCAATCGATCGATCCATCGATCGATCGCATGCCAAATGTAGTTAGGTAGGATGAGTTGTGGCCACTGTGCTTCGTTCGCAGCATTCAGGTATTTCTCATAGGAGCAGAAGGTATGGGAGAGACTGGTGGTGGAGCTTGTGGGTCAAGGATCAGTGTTGGCTTAAGGGACTCTAAGTTCTACCTTTGACCGTCTTAAACGTACGTTTTGCATTAAATTTTTGCATTTGTAACTAAATAAATTTGAAACTGTTTGAAACAGCAAAATGTTTTCCACATTGTCATAAGCTGCAGCTTCGGAGCAGCTTGTTCCAGCTCCAGCTGCTGTTTGTGGTGATTTGTCTGCTCCTCCCCCAGACATTTTCACTCTGAATTTCTTCCATCTTGGCCGTGGAGCCTGCTCTGCGTGGGCTGTTCAAATTCGTTTCTGTTAGCGCCGATGTAAAAGCAGTTTACTACTTGACAAGCAGCACGCTAAAGATCTGCTTAGGTAGATGGCGCCAGAAAAGTTATCGAACCACTTGAATTTTGAACAAGCAGTATACTGCTTACAACGTAAAGTTCGTTGCGCGCCAATTTTGAAATTAGAAATTATAAACTTAGCAATAAAAAGAAAATAAAAAATATTTGATTATCTATTTAATTCGAAAAAATAAACGGTCATAGTTTCCAATCAATTCAATTGACTTCTCCAGTGATACGAATACAAAACATGCAGAATCTCAAACACAATTAGTGAAAATTTTGTTGATTTCCACCTAACTACCGACTACTTAACACCATTCGAAATGCAGCAGGTTCATCGAACCCAAACTCTCAGCCAAAGGGGGATTGTCTGTTGCCTTTTTGGCATTGTCTTTTGCTGCTGGTTCTTCTGCTGCTGCTTCCACAGAAAGCCAACCGCTCCCTTGCCGCCATGTGCTGATGCCCACAGAAATGAATAAATATTAATGCTGATGCGACGCGATTCGACAATGAAAGTGGTGTTTGCCCGCTCTTCGGCGAACATTGGTCTCTGCTTCTGCTTAGAACTTTTCGCCTAATCGAATGTCGGGCCGTGAGAATCCAGCGTGCGAGGCGAGTCATCCAACTCTCTCGACAGTTCTCGAGTTCAATGCGATCGGGTTCAAATTTGAGGAAGTACAACGCTTTTGGGGTAGCAAACGATATCGCTCGTCACTGCGGCCGATAAGGTGTGACTAAGAAAACCGAAACCAAAACAAAACACAAGGAAAGGCCGGTCTACGGGGGCCCAAACACTGGATACCCTTACCAAAACTGCCTATTTCGAGAACTAATATATTTAGGTATATATATTCTTGTAGTCACCTTCGGGAAAAGGGAGAACAGCCGTCATCCGGTGATTTGCAAGATTTGTAGAAAACTTTTCCAACACCATTGCATCCTGTGGGGCTTAAAGGGTATGTGTATGTATGTATCTAATGCATGGCTGATTGAATCGCTTGACCCCTTGACCACTTACGCTGAAAGAACACGTATGATTCATGTTGGAGTAGGACTTGAAGCACTTATAAAATAAGTTAGCTATGCGATTCGTCATTGGCTATCTTATGATGATCAACAGCTTGAAACACCCTGGAATATGTGGGTATGCCAGCGTGGGAGCCCCCTCCTTCTATGGCAAACATCTGCCCGAACGTTTAGTACCCTCTGCGAGAGTATATGACCACCAGACAGATGGGAAATGTCCCATAGAAATCAAATCACTTCCCATAGCACTCAGTTATGACCATGTTTATAAATATAATTGCTGTGTGATTTTTGCGTGTGTCAGATAACTCTTTTTTCGGGTGCAATGAACGCAAATCATCGCTCCCCCACACCTGAATCGGGTCTGCTAGTAGTATTTGTTTTGTTAACGCGAATTCGCGCGTTTTGGCCGCCTTATCAGTCGTTTGCCAAAATACAAAATAAAATGTGCTCAGGTTGTTGTGCATTGCGCGTGGTCGTTGTTGATGTAGAAGAAGTCGAGGGCTTGGGCTCCCGAGGGATCCCTCTACATTCAGCAGCCTACATTGCTTTGACTTATTTTTGGTTTACAGTATTTGATGTAAGAACATAAAACGAGTGTAAATTTCTTTGAGCTAATAAATCGGTGAGACTTAATTAAGCTCTAATCTAATCATTATTATGTTTGATTTGCGGAAGAACACGTCACAATTGCATCATACTTAACTGCAAGCAAATCCAAAGTGATTTAAACTAACTTACACTCTCCATTGTGTTATTATTAGCCATCATTTTGCAATCAAAGAACTCAATTATCAGTTGGGAGACGGCGATCTTGCCCCATCTACATATATGGCATTTCGTCAGGGGCCTCAGTTGATAAGCAGGCATCGATATCTGGTCAATGCTTGGGCAACAGAGGCATAATGCAACGCCTTAGAACAACAAGGGTGCAGTGTCGAGGGCAACGCATTTGTGCAACACGCATAAGGAAGCGGCTGCAGCAGTCAAATTTGCACAATCTACTCTGATGTAGTCATCGATATCGATATATCAGATGGGCTGCAATCATTTGACTGATAAGACAGGCGGCTGTGCAGTGGAGTCAATGAGACGCTGAAGAGCGGTCCTGTCATCGACATCGCCATCGCCATCTGCTCTTATCGTACAACCGCGCACGGGGCGTATGATTAATAAAATCCGAATAAACAAAGGGGAAACGGAGAGCAGCGCACACACCTTCAAAAAGTAAACGACAACTTGACCTAAATCAAAGAAAACGGAAAAGGAGAGAGTCGTAGAGAGAGGTGGGCAAAGCGAGAGAGAGAGAGAGGGAAAGATTCAAAGAGTGAGAGCACGTGTGCGAGAGAGTGAGAGTGGGAGCCAGTGACAGGGACAGAGACAACTTTTACAAATCGCTGGCATTTAAATAAACAAAACTACGAGGCGTGCTAATTTTTATGAATTTCATAACATGATTTTAATTTTAATAAGACGCGAAAGCAACAGCAACAGCAACAAGAAAAACACTGCGTACCATATTACGTGAAAGCTCTCTGATGCGTTGCGACGCGACGCGACGCGACGCCTCCGTCCGAGCAGTCACGCATGCGCGCCAAAACAAATCCCCGCCCGAAATGCATCACGAACTTCTTCTGAGCCAAAAGTCTAGGCAGAAATCAAAGTGTGTGAGCAGGGCCCCCCTTCTGGGAGAGTGGTAGAGAGAGAGAGAGATCGAGAGAGGTGTGGGGGAATGCCGGTTAATGCGGGCGTGATGTTGTTGTTGGGGCTTCGACTGCCCCCTGCCCCTGTCCCTACTGTTGCTTCTCCCAATGCAAACGAAAATGAAAGCGAGCAGAGAGACAACACGCTGGCAGCGCATTCAGTGCCAAAGCTGGCGCTCTTTGTGTATTCCACCCCGAGAAGGAGGCATATCCGACTGCACAAAGCATACGTAAGAATGTTAATCATCATCAATGGTATGAATGTTCGTCAGGCTGGCTCTCAGCCAGCCCTCAGTACAAAATATGAACCATTGAAATCGGAACTTGCTTATGGACAATCAGTTAATTATGCAGCCAAGTCATATCATTTATATCTGAAAGAGTATCAAAGCTTCGACTAGCGAGGCTTTTCTACTTTCCTGTTTTCTTTCTTTGCTGTTTCTTTCGGCTGCCTGCAGGCGAATGTTGTGACGTCACGCCGCATATATGTAGATGCACAGAAGACAAACTGCTGTAAGATGTGCCTTTATTTGAGCTTCGACAGAATGCAATTAGGTCACAGTTGCAAGATACTACTGAATATTTACAAAAAATTAGACAAAATGTAAGTAAAGTATCTACCGTCTTGCCTATCATTTACACTCTGCACAGCAGCAGCAACTTGTCTGGTAAGTAAATTGCCTTGCAGTTACATAGTTGATCCCCCTCTCATTGAGAGTAAAAGTGATTGGGAAAAACTTTTGCTTTTTACAGACGTCGATCGTTTCTCTCCTCTCTCGCTCTCTCTGGCTGACTCTCTTTGGACGCTCTCTCATGGGAAGCATCCACAGGTAGTTGCTGTAAAAGCAGCGCAGCCGAAGCTCAAGCAGCAGTAACGACGGCGACGACGACGACGACGTCATTTTTGGGGGCTTTTATGGCGTGGAGTATTTGCGCCTGTGGCGTGTGTTTGTATGTTTGTGTGTGTGTTACATGCGCGCTGTGCTTCGGCTTCGTTGTTGGCGTCGTCGACGTCGTCGTTTGCTTCTCATTTTCTTTGGCTCTGCTGCTGCTGCCTGCTGCTGTTGCTGCTTGGCCTGCGCCAAAGACTTTTTCACTGTGCCGCGTTCGCATTTTGTCACAGTTACAATTTACCAATTGTAAGCGACGGACGCGCTGCTCGCTCTAACGGACAGGAAAACGCCAAGAAAAGCTCTCTCTCTTTGTCTGTCTCACTCTCTGGCTCTTCGCTCTCCGGGGGCCCAGACAGCCTAACGGTTCTTCAGGAGCTTGCCTTTGCTTTTGCCTTGTGCCTGCCTTCTAATACCAAAGCAAAGTCGCGTCGGACCGTCTCGTATAAAATCTGTTGCATCACTGCGGTGGCACTTCAGTCGTTCGAGCGCGTGCGGCCGGAGAAGTGCAGTGTTAACAACAATTACAACAAAAGCAACAACAATACTAAAATGCGTGGCTGCAGTGAACATTTAAGCGGCAAAAAATGACAAAAAAAATTACAAAATTTGTGAAATAAATAAATAGCAGCAACAAAGCAAGAAAGCAACAAGAAACATTTCCAAAGACAAACTTACCTCAGTGCAATGGTCTAGGACTTGAAGCCAACCAAAAACATAAATAAAACACCTTTAATTCCCCACACAACTTACGCGGAAAATCAATCAAAATTATCGGGCAAAAAGGCATCAACATTCTACCCTCATTCGGGCAACTTAAAATGCTGAACATGGAATCGCCACAGATGTACGCCGATGCCGTGCAGACGCTGGCCCAGCTGGACCTCAAGAAGCCGCCCCCCCAGCAGGCCACCATCGGCCAGATCACACTGACGGCGATGTCCACTGCCCAGCAGCAGCAGCAACAGCAGCAGCAGCAGCAGAATCCTCAACAGCAGCAGCAGCAGCAACCTCAACAGCAGCAACAGCAGCAGCAGCAGCAGACAACGGATGCCAACAACAATACGTCCCAGGACGCGGCACTCCTTGTGAAGCAGCATGCCATGCACCAGATGCAGCAGGCGGCCCTCAACGGCAACAACAACAACAGCAACAGTGTCAACAACAATGTGAACAACTTGCTGCAAAAGCAAATGCTGCAACAGTACACCACACAGACGGATCTCGACGAGCTGACGACCCAAGAGATTACTCTGGACCTGCAGCACCTGATAGACGACCAGTTCCGGGACACGGAGACGCTGGGCATCTTCAGCGACATGGTAACCAGTCCGGGCGGACTCTCCGCCACCCTGCCGCCCAGTGGAATGGTCAGCGCCGCGGCCAAGGTGTTGCAGCAGCAGACGCTGAGGAATCAGCACGGCTACGGGCGGGGCGGGGCACTGGCCTACATGCCACAGCCTGTGCACGCCACCTACAACAATTCCAGCGACGAGAATAGCTCCGTGGGCTCCGACTCCAGCACGATTAAAGAGGAGCCCATCGATCCCGAGTATCGACGCCACCTGCAGGAGGCAGCCAGCCAGCAGGCGGGCAACGCGGCTGCCGCCTTTATGACCAACGGCAGTGGGCTGTACAACGGGTACGGGTCCGCCGGGAACGGATTGTCCGGCAACAGCACCAGTGGCACCCTCAACGGCAGCACCACTCCGAACCACAGCAGCAGCAATGGCAGCAACGGCAGCAGTGGCCCCGTAAACGGCAGCCAGTTCACGAATCTGACCACGGCCAATGTGCTGGCCCACCACAACCTGCCACACCTGGCGGCCGCCGCCGGGGCCCAGCACCTGTTGAAGCAGCACAGCAAGCTCCAGCATGCGGCGCACCACCAGCAGCACAGCCACCACCGGAAGCATGGCAACAAGCACGTGGACAAGGGCACCGAGGAGTATCGGCGGCGGCGGGAGCGCAACAACATCGCGGTGCGCAAGAGCCGCGAGAAGGCCAAGGTCCGGTCGCGGGAGGTGGAGGAGCGCGTGAAGAGCCTGCTCAAGGAGAAGGACGCTCTCATCCGGCAGCTGGGGGAGATGACCAACGAGTTGCAGCTGCACAAACAGATCTACATGCAGCTGATGAACCATGCCAATCCCGAAGTGAGTCGCGTCTGTCGAAGCTTCCTCAACACCAACGAGCACTCGCTGTAGCCGTGAGTGTGAGTGTGGGTGTGTGAATACGAGTGCGAATGAGTCTGAGTGTGTGAATGAATGAATGAATGAATGGGTGAACGAGGAATGAGTGAGTGTGTCTGTCGCCAAATCAAAGATTCAAAATGCTGTGTGGGTAGAATGTAAGAACCATTTTGCTTTTTTCTCTACTATTCATCATCTTCTGCATTCTGCCTTTTACTTCTGTACTCTTGTACCTTTGTCCTTCTTCTCTTTCTCTCTGTCTCTTTTTCTGTCTCTGCCCCACCTGTGGCATTTCCTTTGTACATTTACTTATCTTCCTTCCCCCTTGTTATCATTGCTTACCGAGATACAATTAAATATTTTTGTACTTAATTTTAATGACTGTAACATATATTTCGCACATCTATAACTATATAGCTATATACATATGTTGTATATTGTATATCCATGCATATTATCATAAAGTTAAGCCAAAGAAAAATGTTGAAAATATTTATGTAAAAAAACGCGCAGGAAAGAAAACGGAAAATACAAAAAATTAAAACTATTTATACAGAAAACAAACAAAAAAAAAAACAAAAACAAATACACAAATAACTATTGTAATTTTGTACATTTCTTGAATGGTGTGCGGCTTGCGCTATTTGCTTTATGCCACGCCCCTGCCCTGCCCTGCCCTCCCCTCCCCGACCCACTCACAGGCCCTGCTTTAAACACTGATCCAACACTAGCAAATCTCTAGTTCGTAAGCCTTGTCCCAAAAAAAGAAAAGAAACAAATAAACACCTCCCCCACTCCCCACCCTACCCCTTCACCGGTACTAACAGTAATCTAGCGAATGCGATGCGATGGGAATACGGAATATCCGTGGCTGCTGCTGAGAGCGCGGAAGATATGAATGCTATTAACTTGTAAGGCCAACGCAATGTTCTCATTTTAATTTATATATTCGTAAATTAAATATACAACAACAAACCAACAAACGCAAACTGTAAAGCAACTCTAAATAAATTAAATAAAATTTACAATATACAAAGAAACATAAAAGTGATTTTTTTCTTGAAGGAATTTCAGTTTTTCAGCATTTAGCGGAGTTATCCAAAGCGTAATTTAAGTTCTTCCCGATTTGATCAAATTAAAATATTTACAAATTAGCCACCAAATCGTAATTGGCCCAACAACAATGCGAAGCCAAAAGCTTTGCCAAAAAAATATCTAATAAAATGTCGGCCATATTTAGGCGACCACACAAACACACACGCATTGACAAAGAAGGCCAATAAGCGACAGGGAGAGAGAGAGGTAGAGGGAGAGCACAGTTTTATTTTGGCTTTTCCTCTGGTGCGACAGCCAAGACAAGGCAATGCATTTCGGGCTGCCAGGCGCGACAGCTGAGACACGCGCTGAGGGCAAAGGGACTGGGAGGGGGCAGGGGCTGCGGAGGATGGGAGGACGGTAGCCCCCAGACAATCGCATGGCGGCCGTGTTGACACAATTTGACAGTAAGACAAACCCGAAACGAAAAGCAAATTTATAAACGACAAAGCGAAAAAAGAATAAATGCAACTCGAAACAAAACAAAAACACACAAAACACACAAAAATATCAGACAAATTAACGCGCCAGAGAAAGCCCCCCCGAAGCCAGAGGGCAAGCAACAGGGGGGAACGCATTGCCCCGACCTGGGGCAGATAATCACTTACACAAAAAAAATTTGGGTTCGGGCTAAGCCCTTTTCTTGATGGCTTGCGGAGGAAACCCAAGGCGGTGGCTAAAACTTTCTTTCCATCTGCGGCGATTGCTGCTGCCCCTGCTGGCCCCCGCTGCTGCTGCTGCTGCATGCACCCAATTTGTCTAGGCCTAGTATCCCCCGGCCCCGGCCCTGTCCCTGTGCCTGCCAGTCTCCTCCCACCCCGACTTACAGTCAGCATTGTTGAGTACTTTGATTGATGAAAGCTAATTGCGCATGCACTCTAGAGTGCAGCAGCAGCAGCAGCAAGCAGTAACCTCCTCGAAAGTGAAATTGTACAACTTGTGGGTGTCTTGTGGTAGCCCCAAACCCCAAAAGAAACGGACAGCAATTTAAAGCTCGACTTTGATAAGGGTTCTAAGCGGATTACGGAGAAAGTTTTGCGGTTGCCCTGCCCCTGCCCATGCACTAAGCACTAAGCACCGGACTGCAGACCCTTCAAAGGTACATACATGCATCATCGTCAGCATCGTTTTGGCAAGGGAACAGAAATTGCCGCACAATTACTGCCAAACTAAGCGCCAAGCATACGCGGCGTATGAGTTATGAGCGACGCGCTGCAACGGCAGCGAGAAGTGATAAATCTGCAACAACCAGAGGCAGCACACTTTGCAGTCATTTTCCCGTCCTACCAGGGCGATGGGATGATAAATTTTAATTGCCATAATGAAGAACGAAGGAGAGCTGCTGACGGGACATACATATATCAAGGGGAGGAGGAGGAGCATATGCACAGGGCTATTAGGGTGCTGTAGGGGTAAAGAATCTAGGAGTAGAATCTTCGCTGAAATCAAAGAGTGCAATCTATCACTGCAAGTTTAATAGTTCTTACAAGTCAGGAATTTATTATACATATCTAAGAGCTCTCATAATTCCCTGTATCTGTACATTGTATGCTGCTCTGATCCTCGTTACTTTCTGTTTCATTGAGCTTGAAAGGCCCAGATCCCGATTCAGATCCAGATCCATCACGATCCAGTTGCCAATCAATCCATCTTTCACACTTCAGTTCCACTTTGTCTGCTGCTTATTGTTGGACGTGTATCTTCTCCTCTTTCCACTCCATCTCTGGCTGCAACGGCACACAAAAACCCATAACGGAAAAAAGTGGGTTACTTCATTTTTATTTTCATGCCTCAAGAGAGCGAAAGAGGGAATGGGAGAAACACAGAGAGAGAGAGAGAGAGAGAGAGAGAGAAGGGGGACTAACTTTACATCTTTTCATCTATCTATCTATCTATCTTTATTTTTTTTTCTTTTTAGCACAGATTGAGTAATAGCTGTTTGGCTTATATTTAAAGCCGAGCTCCGTTCCCTCCCTTTTGTGCCAGCATTCGCCTGGCAACGACGATCGTGTGGCCAACACGGAGCGGTTTCACTTTCTATGCCGACTGACTTTTGCTATCTAATACAGCCGTTGCCGCTAGAGCAGCAGCAGCCGCAGCAGCAGCCGCCGAGGCAGCTGAGGCAGCAACAATGGGGCATCGGAGCTCACCTCATTTTACGCCGCTTTTTGCTGTTTCCTTTCCACAATACATTGACTATTTTCTTTTCGACGGCAACGCCATGTTGGCCGCAGTCTCAGCCTCAGTCTCAGCCTCAGCCTCAGCTTCAGCCTCACTCTCAGCTTCGGAGTCAGGCCGAGTCTGAGGCTCAATGTATCTGTATCTGTATCTGAGTGTGGGTCTTATGTAATAGCCATGAGTGCTGTTGTTGCTTTTGCTGTTGCTGCTTTTAAAGATGCCTTTTCTTTTGTTGTGCTGTGCTGTGCTGTCTGTCTGCTGCCTGCTGCCTGATGACCAAGTTAAGATATTATGTTCGTTATGTTGCGCTTATTAACGTGGCCCACAAAAATTGTTTAACGTTTTGCTTTGCCTAAACGAATTTTCCGTTATAAATCAAGCGAACCACGCAAAATGGAGACATTTGGCTCTGCGGCTCTGCAGATGGGAAATAATCAAATAAATTGTTCAGCCCCCCAACTCACCCACAGATCGAAGATGCGGAGGGGGCAGGGCTCATACTCTTCACCCTTTACGCAATTGTTAAGGTGAGGGAAAATGCAACCTACCCTCTCTCAGCACAGAGTTAATAGCACCAACAAAACTTCAGCAACAATTAAAAAGAAATGAATTTACATATGGTAAAAGTGTATCTTACACTTAAAGGCAGATCTATTAAGAATTTATGGGCAGCTCTGTCCAAACAGAATGTTTGTGTAGATAAAGCAAAAGGGAAATAACATCAGCGAAAGAAAGATACTTAACGATAGGCAAAAACACAACGAACATTGCAATACACTGCACATATTTACATGTTTATATTTACTGAATATTCAAATTCAATTAAAAATCGAAAGAGTTGGCGTTCGTCCTGGGAAAGTCCTTTTCCCCATAGGATCTTTGACTAGAAGGGTGGCAATCCCGTTAGCGGCAATGGCAGCCGCAGAGCATGATAGCAAGATCAACAGAGGAAGAGAAAGAAACAAAACTAAATCTAAACCACTCACCCACAGACCCATTGCCCTACTTTTCCCCACAGGGAGACCCAGCAACAACAATAAAAATATATGAAAATACAATAAAAAAAATGCTGGAAAATAATCTCAACGCCAACACACACACACACACACGCACACACAACATTGCTAATCAAGCCGTATGCGTGCGTGTGTGTAAGTCAAAATTTACAAGGGGCGCCCTTTTGAAAAAAACTTCTTCCAAAAAGCTGCGCGCGCTTCTATTTTCAGCTGCGCGTTGGCGTCTACGTAGCGTCGCTGCCTTTATCAATCTTGGCACAGCAGAGGCAGTGGGGCGACAGAGGAGGTAACTTATCTTAGGGCAAGACCCGCGTCCGTTGGAAAGGGCCGCAGCCGCACCGCGCCAGACACTTGTTGCAAGCAGAGCAGAGAACAGTCGAGCAGCCAACAACAAATTGACCTAATTTCTGGTACACATTTTTCCTTTACAGCACACAGATACGCACGCACACACCCATGTCGACAAGGAAATACAAACAAACCGAAATATGTGCCCTAAACTCGTAAAGAATGGGAAAAGATGTAGCTGTATCTGTATCTGTGCGAACGAGTGTGTGGAATGTTCCCTTAAAGCGAGGCAGCAACAACAACAGCCAAAATTGAAATTGTTGTTAATTGTTGGTGTTGGTGCTGTTGTTGCTGGTGTTTGCTTTGCGGCATTGCTGAGTTGTTTGCAGTCGCTGTCGCTTCAGTCGCTGCAGCACTCCAACAACAGACTTCACTTTCAATTTTTATTTTATTTTTTTTGTTCTTTCTTCTGGCTTTTGGGCGCAGTGAAAGAACTGTTCTATGCCACAGCAGCAGACACAGCAGCAGCGGCAGAGAGCAACAAAATTTTTCTTGACTTTGAGCTAAGTAGGTCAGCAGCTGTAAAATAGACTCCACCAGACCCCACACCCTATGGTGCCCCACCGAAAAGGCAATCAAATCGAGGAGAGAGAAATGTTTGTGCATCGCCAATGGAGGAATGTGTCTGGATACGATACTGCGATCTGTGGCACTGCTTAGACGGTGTCTACTTCTCCATTGCTTGAGGCATCTGACACCCCTCACCACACACCCCACGCACCTTCCCACACCCCGTCCGTGGTGTCTGGTCTGTTAAGTAGGTCAGCACTTTGGGGCTGATCAAAAAGAAGTTTTCATTATCACGTGCAGTTGATGCAGCTGAAACAGAGCCCGAAGAGTCTTTAAGTATCCCAAATGTTTGCAGCAGCAACAAATACGAGTAGTAGCAAAAAGTAAGGCATTCAATAATTTTTATGGCCGAAGAAGGAACAACTAGAGCCATAAAATGTATCTTTGCGTATCACTAAATGATTTTCCACAGATTTGACTCACATTTGGTTCTTAAATAACTTCTGGATATGTCTTAAATATATTCATATTAAGGCCGATGCATTCGATGCATTCAAATGCTTTCATTTGCTTAGAGATACCCACTGTATCCCATGCCATGCGTATCTTTTGCTCTCACGCTCACTGTACCTGTGTCTGTGTGTTTCCCATCTTTTTCTCTCAACCTTTTGGTTTCGCTTAAAAATAGCACCAAAAAAAGGTTCATTCCGTACCAGAGAACAATGAAATCGACCAAAAATTTGTGCTTTTCTGCATCGCATTTGTGAAGCAGCGGCCAAAACAGCCAAGCGGCAAGAGCTGCCAACAAAATAAATAAATTAAACAAATGATTTACATTTTAATGTAATTAGTATAAGTATAAAAATGTGTGGA